TTTTCTGTTTCTTCCTTTTTTTTTTTTTTTTTTTACTGTTTAGCTTAAATCTGATTTGGTGAAATACTACATACGTTGAGAAAACTTACAGCAATACGTTGAAAGCTAAAATTTTCCAAAGCAGAAGCTGCGTTGGCAAAACTAACAAGGATGTTAGAACAATTCCTTGATTTTTTGAAAAAACACACCCACTAGGAACCCAAAATAACTGCCTCTTATAATTTTAAGAGAAGCCCACTTTCTTTGCCTAGGCGTTCCAGTCACTTTTTCCTAGCTAACACTTTCCATATTATAGTATGTCCTTGTTAATGACAGGACTACTGTTCATTCTGAAGTATGAGCAGGCTGTATAAACTGACCCAGCGTTCTAAGCCAAGCCGTGTGCTGTGTCAGAATAACGTAGTCAGTCTAGCCCAGCTTTCTGCAAGATGCCACTAAGGATGTATGCTTCTAAGACGTCCAGTTTCTTCTCTAATGAAACCCTACTGCTCTTTAAGCAAACTAAGAAATCCAGTTTCTTCGCTACTGAAACTCACAATTTCAGGGTAATGTTGGTTGAAGCAGTAGTGAGTAATTGGAGGTAACTAGTAACAGCTTTATCAGGAAAGTGTTGCACCATATCCAGATATTCACTGATTGAAGCAGGATTGAAACCAGACTGCTTCCAAATGCACACAGGGAGCATGTGAAGGTTCATATTGGATAAGGTGCTCCTCAGATATGCTAGATGCGGTCATTTAGCACTTCGTGAATGTAATAACCACTATTTTAAAGTGAGTCTAAAAGCAGGTCAGTTGTCAATGCAATCCCAGACTGTTTAGAAAGCCAGTTCTGTGCTTGGTTATTGCTGTGCCCCGTTGTGCCAGGACCATACATTGAATTACAGTCTCATAGAGATATACCGGGAGCAAATCCTATTTAAATCAATGGGACTGACTTTTGAGTATATACTGTGGATGGACAAATTGTAGGTTGCTGATGCCCAACAGTATAGTATTACTGTTTTGATGGAGCTATCTTATTTCGTTCTCCGTAAGAAAGCAGTAGTCTGAGAAAACATTAATTTTGTAAAGTTTAGTTGCTAGGAGGTATTGAACTGTCACCATGAAAGATCAACCAGGAGGCCCAATTACAGTGCACAAGCTACTCATTGTTTAAAAACGGAGCATGTTATATACTCATTTCTATAAACACCTTGGTTGCTATAAACTTACTTTCCTTCTTTAGGAGATAACTCTTGCATTTGATGTAATCTCATCTTGTTTTGCTGTAAGAAATTCATTTTTTGTCTGCTTTTGTTTCATATACTAACAGTGCACTACACTAACAGTATGCCAGCAGTATACTAACAGGTACATTAACTGAGCATTTTTTTAAAAATCCACTCTATATTCAACTATATTTCCTCCATACTCTTGGAGATTCTGTAATCTCTGTTGGATCATATTCTCTTACTCTTGATTAGAGATTTGTTGTAATCCTATGAAAAGGAAGACAGTAAATCTGCTGGAGTAAAGATATGACTTCATCCTTCCAAACCAGCAGAATGTGCTGAATTTCTCCAGTTTCTCCATCAGTGGTCGCTGATGATTTGTAAAAGTATGTTGGGTTCACTTGCAGCTTTGGGTCATTTAATCTTTTTGAAATGTACACCCCAGAATACTTGGTCATTGGTGATAATAAATTACCAGATATAAGGCAACAAGCATTGCCATCACACTTTACATAGGAGTCTTCTGCTTTTAACAGCAATGCTGTATACAAGCATACACCTGACAGGTATAGCTTCCACACCTTGAAAGATTTTTTTTATCAGTTCCTAGTTGCTAAAGAGCTATAAGTGGAGTAATGAAAAGAAAATATAATCTGAAAGAACAAAAACAGTAACATAAAACCTAGCTTGGAAAAAGGTGGTTTGAAACAAAGAACTTCAGACTAAAACACTTTCTGTTAAAAAAGAGACCTGCTTTCATCAGAGAAGGTAGTGGTTGGCCAGGAAGAAAGACAAACTTTTCACAGATTTTCCAGTTTGAAGTATATATAGCTGTGATGTCAGTTTTTTCCCATTTAAATTAATACTTCTTATGGACTCTGCTTTTTAAGTAGAGAAGAGACTATATACTTCTCTGCTTGAAACAATATCCCCTGTCATTCTCATCTTAACTAGAAATGGAAATCAGTGATTGAATATAAATTTATAAACATGGCTACAATCTTAACCACTACTTTGCAGGTAAGTACAAGTAAAGATCAATGAAATGGTTTGAGGATGACTGTAATGTGTCCTGGCAAAAGCGCACATCCAAGTCTCTCTGCAATGTGGAACTAAAAAAAAGTAGTTTAGTAGCTGTTTATTAAAAGTACTCCACCAGTTACAAACATCTCACAAGCACAAAACAGGATTTAGTCAATCCAATCATTGAGGTGGTTGTGAATTTTTATATAAGTGTGAAACTACTTTTAGATACTTCTTTCCAGAACACTTGTCTGGAGAGGCATCTTTATTTTCATAGCCAAGAAGAGATGTCTTTATTTTCACAGCTGGTTGAGCAGCTGAATCCATATGTTTAGTGTTCAAGTATACGTTATGATGCAGAAAAGAAAAGAAAGTTTGCTTCATAGCTCTCAGTAGAGAGATGGCAATTATGAAAAGAATTGGATACAGGAGTACATAGTTAATGTTTCTTTTCCCTTTTTCAGTATAGTTAACGGCAAAGATACCATGTTGCTCTAAAGCAGTAGTGTAATACTTTTTCTCACACATGCAACATATGGGATCCTGGGTTCACTCATTTACTCCACTCATGTTACACCAGAAATCCCATACAGAAAGTAATACGTTCATCACAGAATATATTGTCCCCAAAGAACTGCAAATTCCTGTTGCAATGTAATAGACATCATGCTATCTGAAGTTTGACTCAGAAGGTATTTTTTCTGCTTAATCAAGGATGGCCTCCAGCTAAAGGAGACTGAATAACAGTAAATGCAAAACAGTGTGCAGAGTTAAAAATATTTCTTGTAAATCACATTTAGGTTAAGTCTTATAGATTTCTTTGCACAATTAAAAATAGTTTCTGATTAGTCGTGAAAATTAATACTCAGATCTTACTGTTCAGGAATAATATTCTAATTTCATTTTTAGTGCCTGGCTCTCTGGATATGAAAACCCTGTGGTGGCACGCATAAATACAAGGATACAGGATCTAACAGGCTTGGATGTTTCCACAGCAGAGGAGCTCCAGGTGAGTTTATAAAGCAAATAAAAGTATGTGACTGATCACACTAGCATGGCTCCAAGAAGGATTGAAAAACATGTCAAATCTCCACACTTTCTGTAAATTGAGGATCTTGTCTTCATTGTCATATAGCCCTAATCTTGTATTTCATTGGCATTGTCCAAATACATGGTATTCATCATAGGTAAACTGCTAGAACCTGTTTAACTCATCAATTTTATGTTTTTTTTTTTGTTCTTTTCTTAGAGAAAACAGAAGGCAAAACAGCAAAAGTTCATTATATACTGCCCCAAACCGTTCTTCTTATGTGATTTTTTTTTCATTTTTTTTTTAAAAAATAGAATTTAATTGATGCCAACCCTTAAATATATAATCAAACCCAGTTCAGAATTTTCACTTTATGGTGAGTGAAGTTCAAAGAATAAAAACAAAATCTTCCATATTAAGTGTTCTATCTGTATTAAGTGTTTGCATCTGTAAAGGCAGCTGAAATAAAATGTTTGGACTGTTGCATTTATGTGTTATTTGCAAGTCTACTCAAGCCTGCAGTGCTGCTGAATAGAGCATGCTTCAGCTTTTGCAATTGCCAGTATACCACTTTAGCATGCTGGTTGGGGAATTCTGGGAGTTTCACATATCTTAAAGTCACCAAGGTTGAGAAGCACTGCTTTAGGGAGACTTGTTCACTCTGAAGACTTAAGCTGTTCTACTATCTTTTAGCCAAATTTCACCCTAGAAATGAAGCAAGTGTATGAGATCACCTCTTAGATGTTTTACCGGGTATTTGTGCTTCTTCTACTGTAGGTAGCCAACTACGGAGTAGGAGGCCAGTACGAGCCTCATTTTGATTTTGGAAGGGTAAGTCTTGGTTTGCCTTTGCGCTTCATATGTGCTGTGTTTCTTTTTTCCAGGTAGCAAATTATGGAGTGGGAGGACAATATGAACCCCACTATGACTTTGCTCGGGCAAGTAAAATGATGGGTGAAGAAAATTTTTGCATAGTTTAGGCTTTTTGGGCACTGGCAAAAATGTCTTGTATCTGTATTAAATTTGGGCTATGGAGTCGTCTAATCCATTGGAATGGATAAACCCTCTTAAACCACCATTTGAACTATAAAAAGAGAGCCAATTGCAATTCACTATTAAGTGAAAGAAAGAGTTAAAAGGGTCACTTCATAAAAACTGCTTTACAGAAAAAAGGTTTCTAACCCATTTGGAATAATGATGAAGCAACTTTATGTTGCAGTATCAGTGGCATATAGATAAACCAGCGGTGAGCTTTTTTGTTTTTAACTATATTTTTTTTAATTTAGTCATTAAAACAATCACAGTTCGCACCTCTGGTTTAAAGTGTTGCCCTGATCAAAAAAAAAAATCAAATGATTTTGAAGTGTCAATATACAGTGGTACCTCGGTTCACGAACTTAATTCATTCCATAATTCTGGTCGCAAGCTGAATCGGTCACGAACCGAATCAAATTTCCCCATAAGGTTCAATATAAATAAGGTTAATCGTTCTGACCCCTACGAACGTGGTCACCAACCAAATCGGTCGCCAACCGAATCAAATTTTCCCATCAGGTTCAATGTAAATAAGGTTAATCCCTTCTGAACCATGTGTATTTTTTTTTTAACCACAAAAATATGAAATGAAGTACAGTACAGTACAATATGAAGAGAGAGAACACTAACCTTGCTTGAGGCAACACCAAAAAGCTTCACAGCAAGTCTCTGTCTGCAACTGCGATCTAGAGGAAGCCACGACCACGTGTCAGAGCAAGGAAGATGGCCGCGGGTTGTGTTTGTCACCCGATGTGGAGTTTGTGAACGGAAGCAAAATTTTGTGAACGCTGCTGTTCGCGAACCGAATTGTTCGTGAACAGAAGCATTTGTGAACCGAGATATTACTGTATCTGCATTTTTAATGCCTGTTTGCATTTTGCTTTTTGGGCACTGGCAAAAATGTCTTGTATCTGTATTAAATTTGGGCTATGGAGTCGAGCAAAATTTTGTGAACGCTGCTGTTCGCGAACCGAATTGTTCGTGAACAGAAGCATTTGTGAACCGAGATATTACTGTATCTGCATTTTTAATGCCTGTTTGCATTTTTTTCTTAATGAACTATCTTTTAATCCAAAGATGGATGAAGTGATGGCAAATACATTCAGATGGTGATTTACTGAGCATTGTGTAAAGTAACATTTTCAATTAACATTTTTCTTGAACCAACCTGTCAGACAGTAATTTAAAAATTCTTGCCTTAACACAAGATAAAACTTTGATTCGCCCTGTTGCTTGAAAACCTCTTATGTACTTTACAAATCAACAGTATAACTTGCAATATACATTTTTGTGTTCGTGCATGAATTTAATTTCGTCCTAATATTTTTGCAGTGCACCTATGAATTTCTATACAGTGTTAAGTTGTAAATTCCACTATGCTACATAGTGCCCAATTTATTTTATTTTACTATTTTATTTATTTAATGAAATTTTTATTCCAGCCACTACAGAATTTGTCAGGGCTGCTTACAGCAAAATAGTGATTCAGAAGAGAGAAAACCAGGAAATGTAAAGTCAGTGTTAAAACTGTCAGTAGAAGATAAATGCAATAAAGCAGCAGCAGCAGAAATGTCATGAATCAAAAGATAACCAGCATCTATAGCTTCTAAAACAATTAAGATTAAAAAATAGCAAATGGAAGGTTTAAGCCTGGTTCCTAAAATATTAGAGTGCAGATGTCAAACAAACTTCTCTGGGATGAATGAGTAATAGTAAACCACCACTAAAAAGTTTCTCTACCCCTGGAGGAGGGCTTCTAAAGAAGATCTGTGCCGGAAAGTATACATAGAGAAGGGTTTCCTGCAGGTGAGGTTGTTTCAAGCCATATAAAGACTACACATAAAAGACTGGAAGGTATTGTAGTACTTAATAGTACTTCTGGAAGAAGCGCTGCAGACTATTTTAAACGTGGGCATATGAAAGTAATTAGGTTTTACCAGCATGAAAAAGTTTATCTTGTAATTCTAGGATGAAAGACATCCTGTTTGCATTGGCATAACTTGCTTAAGCTGTCAAGTATAATTTAGGTATTTGGTTGACTTGAATTGTAGTTGGTGGACAGCATATAATCCCTTGTCTGGATTTCTTTAAATTATTTTTAGATGTAGGAGAGGCTGCTTTATAGGAACTCTAGCACACTAGAAACTGTAAAGAGATTTGCACGAGTCTGCCCTGTTTACTGACGATTGCTTCTTCATGGGCTTTCTGAAAAAGCTCCCCTGCTTTAGAGAAGTATTCCTTCAGTAATGCCTGTGTTATTGGAGTAATAGTACCTTAAGTAGACTTTATATCACTAGTTTGACTGTACAACCAGTCAAATTTGGCCAAATGCATAAAAGCAATAGAACAGGTTTTAAAAATGTCAACAGGAGATTAAAGACAATTGCATAATGAATTCTCCAAAACACACCAGCTCTTGGAAAATGGTAGATTATCCATGCTCTGTAACGGGCATTAATAATGTGGTGGCTCAAAATGGCTGGAATTTTATGAGATTGTCAAAAAATGAAACATTTCAGTGACCTCATGCAAAGACATCAAAAATGCAGAGCGTGTTACTAAGTATCTCTAGCATTGTTGGTTTGGGAAGAGGCGTTGTTGGGATGGGTTTCAAAAAAGTTGCTGATCAACTTCATGAACCCAGGCTCTCTTATCCAACTCTAAAAAGAAGAGAGTTTCAACAAGTAAGTGGTGCATTTAAAGAGCTTGTCCCTTGAATATAATGTTCAGGAATAACAAAAGCATGCTTTGTGTCTTAAGAATTTTGTGTGCTAACTATATAACCCAGCTATTCAAAAGATTTATCACCCAAATAGGAAAAATTTAACTTCAAGGAGAAAACCCTGCTATACTTTTTTCTTCCTTTTCATACATTCCAAGAAGAATTATATTCAGAAATGTTTCTCCTGTGTGCCATTGTTGTTTTACTCATAATACCATCTATGTCTTTGAACACAGAAGGATGAACCAGATGCCTTTAAAGAGCTGGGTACAGGCAATAGAATTGCTACGTGGCTATTCTATGTAAGTAAGATAAGATACTAGAATATCCAAACTCAATAATGCAGTCAAAGAATTCATCTCAGTGAGATAGAAAACATGAGTTGCTGAAGAATACACAGAGTTTTTTGTATTGTTCCAATTTATGTTATGGCACCATAGAAGTACAAGTGTTTTGTATAGTACACAATGAGCAATTTGGAGAAACATTGTATATTATACATCACGAGTTACATTTTGTTATTTTAAATTTTATTAAGTTTTCCACAAAAGTTAAAATACAGAAAAATCAAGGGGAAAAAAGGGGGAAAAAAGGGAAAAAGAAGAAAAGAAAAATGGGGAGGGAAGAAAAGGGAGCATAAGAAAAAAAGAGTAGCTTCCAACTTTCCTTGGTACAGGTATAGATAGAGAATATATTTGC